TCAAAAATATAAATTCAATATAACTAGGGGGAAGTGTGAATTGTAACTTTTTTTAACGGGGCGAAGTGCATTTTGCCCTAATAAATAAATAAATAAATAGGATGAGGGGTTCAGTGAACTCATCAATATAGGCACCCACTTATGTATGCTGATGTCTCAACACCAATTACCGATAAAACGCAGTACACATATACTAAGTGCTCGTCTCTAATGGAAAATGCATGTATCCTCATTAATGATGTAACCCGTCGATATAGAACCACTTTAACAACGACCTATGAGCAGCTGATTCAGACTCTATGCCCTAGGGGTTCGAGGTGGAGATGAGGAGAGCACTGGTTCCGTCGGGGGGAACTTTCAAGAGAAGCGAAGGTGTGGATGTACTTCGTCAGTAGCCGGCTCATGCCCACAAAATCGACGGCCAAAACCTATGCCCCACGTCTTACACTGATGTATGTCATTATGAAAAGGACACCTGTGAATGTGGGCGCGGTAATACACGCTGAGATCCGACGATGCTTAGGTGATACCTCTCTAGGTCTGATGTTTCCCTTCCCTCATCACTACACTGTGTGATCGTGCAGGGGTCCCACATACGCTGATGACCGGATTACCAGGACACCACAGCCTATCTTCCCTTACCACAAGCTCGAGCCAGCGAGTGGACCCCTGGGCGAGGGCGACACAGACTTACCAGATGCAGGTCCCTCGGATGTTCATGCAACTCGACCAGAACAAAGGGGCAGAAGAGGCAGAGAAGAAGCAGAACCACAACTCCCAGAGTATGTCGGCAAATGGATGGATGTCATGGAAGAAAATGTGGGATGGTTCAAGAAAATGATGAAGGCCATGGCTGGAGCGCTCCAGTGCAGGACCGATGATAATGTCGAGCCACGGCCGTTCCCACCACGGCCCCGATATGATGGAGCATCAACCTCCACCGCCGATGAACCAGCACAAGCGGCAGCCACTACACTGGTGGCACAGGCCTGGGAGGAGCACGAGCAGGGACGTCAGGAAGAGGAGGGAGGAGCCAACGAGGATGATCAAGACAACTAGGGGACATTGTGTTTTCTATCCCTTTTTTTTTATTCTGCTTTTGAGTATAGGGACTATGCTAGAGTTTAAGTTTGAGGGTGATGTTTGTTGAACCTATTTGCTTTTATTTTTATTTTTCGTTTGTTTTGGATAAGTCCTTGGATTGATATTTCATTTACGATGTATCTTTGCTAGACTTTGATTTTTTGTTTATTTTATTTATCTTATTTTGATTTGGTCTTTTGCATGCATATCATATAATTTAGTTTCGTATATGTATTTCGATTTCCGTAATTGTGTTATGTTTGTCGCATGCATTTCATATAGGATCGTGTGTAAGTTGCATTTCCGAATTCTATTGAAGCAAAACAATTAATGAATTAGTAGATGGGCTAGTTGATTTTAAAATTGAAATTATGGATAACCGGCTAATTATAGATGTACCTTCCGACTGTGTTTTTGCAACTTGTGTGGATAGCCTTTCGAATCCTTTCCGATTAAGCTTGAGCGCACTTTTCTGAGGGATATAATAGTCTGAGGTTTGGGCGGCGAGTTAGAATTGAATTATGTGTTCACGATTTCCAGTTGTTGGCTAAAAGTTCTATCAATGGTTTTTACGTTTTTATTTTATGTTCGATGTTAAAAAAATATATATATAATAATTTGTGGTATTGTTGTGATTCAAGCTCTGATTTCCCCGCCTTTCTGACTCGAGCTTAACCCATTGGGTGCACCTCGTCGCCTAAGTCTCTCGAGCTGTCGAGCTTGGGGGTTTCTTCGACTAAAGTTCGATACATGGGTCAGGGAGATAACACAGTGGTGTCGTGCCTTGCACGAGTCACGATTATGCCCGTTTCAAAAAAAATGAAAAAAATAAGAAAAAAAATTGTGATGAAAGTCACCACAAATATTGTTGCTGTCATTTCTTTTATTGAATAAATAGACCTACTTATGCCCAACTCGAGTTTTTGAATTGCAGAATCAAAACTTACTTTTTCACCCACATTTCTACTCAAAACCCTCGGTGATTGTGTTTATTGTTTAATTACGGATTCTTGAGTCTATCTTTCATTTTGGTGTAGAAACAACTAATTGCGTCGGTAGGAAAGTCGAATACCTTAAGCCGTATGGCATTCTACGATTTTAAGTTATCTAGCTCGTTTTATCTTTGGAATTAATTGCAATGCTTTGACCAATCCGTCAACTTTGTGGGTGTGTTGTCTGAAAACCCTCACGAGACACAACTCGTCCTTTGGGGGTACCCAGGGGTTCAACAACTTGTTGCATACGCTAAATGCAATCGTGTTTCCCTACGTTAGTGGCCTAGTTTATATTGTCGTTTTTATTCCTTTTTATTTTAGTTTCGTTTTGATTTACTCGGGACGAGTAAAGATCTAAGTTTGAGGGTGTGATAAGTGTTCGATTTGCACGATTTTTGCTTATCAAATCTTCGAGTTTTGGTCTTCATTCGTCCGAGTTTCGGCTTTATTTGTATATATTATTGCGTTTCTTGTTTTATTTCCTTTTTTAGGTTTTGTTAGCTATTTTTGCCAAGTCGAAGCCATTTGGAAGCGAAACCGATTTTTCAAGCCGAGCAAGTGGTCATTAAGACCCAGATCGCGATCCAGGAACTTCGGATGCAAATTCCAGTAGCAAGCACTTTCAGATGGTGGCAAATTCCAGTAGCATCGAGAAATTGGGTCAGATCGCGATCCACACTTCCTGGATCGCGATCTGGGATGGCGGTTCACTTTTTTACGAGAAGCCAGATCGCGATCTGACTCTATTGGATCGCGATCTGGCACGATTTTCGAGGGCAAATATTTGAAAAAGTAAAGATTCTTGATGAAGCTTAGCAATGTACTATAAATAGAAGCAAGCCCTCACTCTTCGTTCTTCTTCGACTTTTTACGGTTTTCGACAGTTCTTCACGGGAATCATCAACGGGGGTTTCGACTTGGGTTTTTCTTACGCAATTTCTTTACGTTTTGTTCTTCATTTCTTGTGTACGTTCTTTTGACACTATGTTTGTTATGAACTAAGAACATTTTCTTCTAGGGTAATGAAGCCTTGTATATATTGATTTTGATCGTCATATCTGTTATCTATTTGTCGTGTTTCGATTTCGTTTATGTTTTCCTATATTAAATGCTTTTGATTTTTTGATCAACTCTCGGATTGATATTAAATAGGAATGAACTCGAGAGAGGATTTCTTGTTTGAAGTTAGGAAAACATAGCTCGGGGTGTGGAAACGGAGACGCGATGCACTTCGGGTAGCCCTTAAGGACTTAACCTAAATGCTCTCTTAATAGCAGGTTCTGAACGGAGACGTCAGACCTGTGGGTAGACTCTAACTACACTGGAGACTGGGGTTAGAGTACATTAGCGTCTGGGTTAACGAATAGGAATGTGATTTTAGATAACAGATTTGTAGATCGTTGTTGATTATACATAGGTGGATTTGGCCCTAGAAGTCCCTTTTAAATCGAAGTCCCCCCGCGTTGAGTTGTCACGGTTTAATTTACGTACATCCTATATTTGCATGTTTACGATCTTGCATGCTTTTAAATTAGGGTTTCTCACCATTCCAAATATTTACGATCGGCTAGATAATATAACGATAATATAATTACACTACTCAGCATGTGAATCTACAAGGTTCCTGTGGATCGATATCCGTAACCACTGTTCTGCAAAATGCGATACTGTATACTTGCGGTAATTTATACGTGAGGAAAACGCGTATCAGCCACCACCGCCAAATCCCTAATCATCAGAGAGGACGGTAAAAAGAAGAAAAACAACGGGGAGGTTTGGCTCCACAGGAATCATGTACCTTGCATAATGGTGGGCTACTATCGGGAGACGCCAATGAAGACGCAAAAAAATGCAAAAAATAGTTTTTTTGTGTGGATTTTTTTCTCTGAAAAGCTCTGTTTTCGATGGGGTCAGATATTTTCTTGGATTTTCACGGGTTGATGAGTTTTGCAGAAGAATAAAGCTTGAATCTGAGCTCCAAATCGAACCGAATTTAGTCGGAGAAAATGTTGGAGTGGTGGGGCGAGGCGGAGGCTGATGATATTTTTGGAAATAAGTCCCTGACTTAAGGAAGAAGAGAGCTTTTCTGAAACTTCAAGGGACTTAATTTAAAAAAATGAAAACTTTATTTGGGGCTTATTTTTTAAATTTATAGTGTAATGGATATTTGAGTCTTTTCACATCAAAAAATCAAACCCTGGTCGCATATTTGGCTAGTGTATCATCGCATATTTGGCTAGTGTATCACACGACCAGCTCGCAGGAGACTTAATGTCGTTCACTATATAACACAAGGGGGGTATGCGCTAATTGTTTTAACGTAGGGATTTTTTTAGCTATTAGACATTATACAGGGGTGCCGAATGCTAAAACCTCCAAACCCCCAAACCCCGCAAAATAAATTATGTACATTATAAATGAAGGCCCTTAAATTTAAAACAAAATTTTATATTTTCAAATAAATAAACAAAAATGAATTGATTTTAAATTCAAAAAATAATATAAGGGTCACGAATAAAACTATTTGCCTAAGGCCCCATGGAAAATGTCATGACTGGCTCTGCTCACATCTTTCGGTGCTTTTATATATAATTATCTTTTCTTTTGCTAAGAGAAAATGTAATATGCTCTTTTCCTCTTGGTTTGGCTGGTTTTAGTCATATCTTTTGTAGAGTCTTATTTCTAATTTTCCCAAAATTAAATTTATCCAATTGCATTAATATTAAATTATCATATTTCATTGACAGCTTTGACAGAAAATATTTGGAAATAGTGCCTTAAATGCAATTTTATCCACATATTTGACAGACAAGAATTTGGTCACCTTCGGTTGTATATATATATATATGTATATACATAAATACAAAGTTCAATATATGTAATATATCACAAAAATATGTATATATGAGCAGAAATCTGAAAATGGAAAAACTAAGCAAAAACAACAACGTTCCGACAATCGATCTCTCAGTTTTCTTCAGAGATGGAGACGAAGAAGCCAAGAAGGCGGTTAAAGAAAAGGTGGGCCGAGCCTGCACCGAGTACGGCTGCTTCATGGCCAAGAATCATGGAATATCGGCTGAGCTGATGAGCCGAGCCATGCAGCTTTGCAGGGAGTTCTTTGATTTGGAAGATGAGGAGAAGCTGAAGTGCAGCCCTATTGCCGCCGGCCCCGCGTGGCGGATCCCGGCTGGATACACAAAGCATCCGGCGCACTCGCCGGATAAGAACGAGCATTTGCTGATGCTTGCACCTCAAAGCGGGTTAAACGTTTTGCCAAACAGTCCTCCTGGATTTAAGTAAGTGTACGCTTAATTTCATTGCCATATATATCAACTATTAATATTAATACCTTTTCTTAACTTTAGCAAATTTAAATTAAACTACAATATTTAAATTTAAATTAATTTTTTTGTTAATTTTCTTTTGTTTCCAATGATAATTTGTATAACAAGTGGAGGATCAATTAGATCCATTCCATTCGACTTAACCCTTAATATAGCTTATCCTTTTCTCTTCATACTAATTATATATTACCGGATATTCAATTTATCCACCCCACCAACTTATTGTATTTAGCCCATTCAAAAAATATCTAAGAAATTTATTTTTTTGCAAATTTTAAACATATTACGCTTTGGTTTAAAAAACTTGAATTAGATTCCACCAGTATGTATTTATTTTATATTTTATTTTATATAATTACATCTAAATAAATTGTTTCATGTCATATTTCTTTAGGTAAGTAGCACATAACCCCTGTGGTTTGAGCTTTATGCACATGATATCCTTGTACTTTCAATACAGGCACATGATTTCCCTGTAGTTTGAACTTTGTGCACATAACGCTCTACTTAATGCAAACTATTTTATCCAACAGTCCAGTTTTTCACATAACATTATTGATCACTATGTGTGGTGTTTTTTAGGGACGCCGTGGAAGAGTTGTTTGAAAATTTCACAAAAACAGGCGAACTAATACTAAGCATCTTAACCGATTATATGGATTTCCCTCCGAATTTTCTCAAGGAATTTAATCAAGATCGGAGCTGGGATTGGATGAACATTAAGCGCTATTTTCCAGCTACGGAACCCGATAGTGTTGGAATTTCGAGTCACAAAGATGGGAATGCGATTACGTTTGTATTCCAAGATGACGTTGGAGGGCTTGAGCTTCTCAAGGATGGACGGTATATTCCTATTCCGCCTTCTCCCGGAACATTGGTTTGCAACCTAGGCGATATTTTTCAGGCAAGTAATTAATTCATATATTTGATGGTTAATTCAATATGTTTCTATTAAATATACATATATTTTTTCAGGTCCTCACAAACGAAAAGATAACGAGCCCGTTGCACAGAGTTGTAAGTCCAAAGGGAAGTAGCCGTTACTCGTTTTCGTTTTTCTATAATATGGGAGGAGACAAGTGGATCGAACCGTTACCCCAATTCACTACAGAAATTGGTGAGCCGCCAAAGTACAAAGGTTTCATGTTTAAGGAGTACCAAGCTTTGAGGATCAGAAACAAGACTCATCCACCTTACGGGGAGTCGGTCGACATCACCCATTATGCAATATAGATGGTGCTTGGCTAAGTTTTTAAGATGTTAAAACGAACTTATAAGATGTTTAAGAGCTTATAATGTAATCCCCGTCTATTTAAAATGTAATTGATGGTGTCGTACTATTTTACAACCCTCTATCTATTTTACAATATGTTTTGTGAAAATTCATATTTGACCTCAATATCAGTTAAATTAGATATAACCCCCTTAAACATTCAAATAATAGGGGTAGACCCAAACTTAAATTTGCCATTTTGATAAAAACCCAAACTTTTCTAAATTACATAATTACCCTCAATCAAATCCCACAAATCCCGTTACTTTACCTTTTGAAATAATATCAAATATCTCCCTATTTTCCCGTTAAAACACTATCACCACAAACCCACTGTCAAAAAAACTGCAAACCTCCCAAAACCAGAAATTTGCACGGCCGTGGATCGGCGATTTTTTTGCACTCCGACCAAGCCTCCGTAGGTACGTCGTCGCCACTCGCTGAATCGCTATCATCCATCGATTTGTTGATATGTTTTGGCTAAATCGAGTATCACGTTTGTGTAATTGCAGATCTGTTATAATCGCATACCGAGTTCGAGCACTAAATCAGTGATATTGCAACAATTGATGGGCAGGACATCCACCAGAAGTGATATCGTCGTTGGCCGCCGTCGCCGTCGCCGTCACTACTCCAATCTAGGGTTACTCAAATCTAGGGTTTTGATAATTCTTCGGCCCATAGTTGATTAACGAGATGCATAGTCGAATTACATATGTATTAATATACTATCCCATATCATTTAATAGACTATCCCACTGGTATAATGTTACTATGGATCTCGTTAATCGACTATGGGCCGAAGAATCATCAAAACCCTAGATTTGAGAAGTGACGGCGGCGGATTTGTGTTTTAAAATTAATAGACTATCTCATATCTTTTAATAGATTATCCCATGTATCTAATTCGACTATGGGTTTAGTTAATTGACTATTGGAAAAATAATAATATACATGGAAACTGAATAATATGTTTGTTTGAAATACTAATCAATTAGGGTAATTTTCCTTATTATATGAAAACGATTAGGGTAAATAAAAATATATATGAAAAAATAATAATATATATGGAAACTGAATAATATGTTTGTTTAACTAATCAATTAGGGTAATTTTCCTTATATCGTGTAATAGACTATCTTATTGATCTAATTCGACTATGGATCTCGTTAATAATCGACTATGGATCCCGTATTATTCAACCACATAGTATATTAATAATTTCAATATAGTACATTAATCTGCTATGATAGTATATTACGGTTATAGTAGTGATATGAAATTGTGTTACAAACAATATACCACTGAAATGACAAGAACATTGAGAACAACACCAACGTAAAGTATTCCAACATAACCAATAAAATAGTACATTAATAATCTCATAATTTCAATCTAGGGTTTTAATAAAATACATAAAACTCATCATAACACAATCAAACCAATATGTCGAGTTAAAAAACTCTAGTATATTAATAATTTCATAATGGTATAATAAAATGATAATGGTAGTATCATACGGTATTCATAATAGTATACTACTGTGGTACAACGGTTTAACACTTATCCGAAGTTACCGAGCCATTACATCGTAAACACCTCTTTATAGCAACCAACCCACCAAACCTCCACAAAATCCGTACGAAATTCGCCATCGAAAAAACCTAAAATCATGAAACAAAATTAAAAATGCAGAATACTAAAAAATGATTAAATAGACTGCAAATACATTTGAATGACAATACATTAATATCATCAAAAATAAACTTAAAATGCAAAATCCATACGCTAAATTAAAAAAGACTACAAACTATATTTTAATGTACTACCCAGCACACTTAAATCGGCTGTTATAAACAAATAAACCAAATATCGATCGGGATCAAAAACATGAACTCGACCACAACGGACAATTATTCCGATTATTGCATAAACCAACTACGAAGCTCATATAAAACAACTCTGGTCCGATCTGCGTGAACCATCCTCTTCTAACTCTGTCAATTCTCTTCCAAACAAACATCATCCGCCAAAAATAACGATGTATATATGACGACGTAATTTTGTTAAAAAACGTTCTACTTAATAGAATCAAGTATCAACACAACTCTTAAAAATGTCTAACCACCGTACACGACAATCCTGTACATACAGCGAAAATAAAAGTGAAAAAAGACGCAGTCATACCCGCTTGACGGTGAAGAAATCTTCAAAGGCGATTAAACGATGGAACGCTGGATAAATCTTCAAAAAAAAATTGTACACGATTTGATAGACACGATTTGATAGAACGGCCAATGATCTCACGTAAATTTATTCCGTAATTTTAGAATCACGTATCAGCAAATCTCATATCACGTAGTTAAGGAAATAAATGCCGTTCAAAAATAAAACAGGGGTATTAAAGGGAAATTATATAATATATTTTGCCAAGTTGGCAAATTTGGGTGTATCTCAAAAAGGAAAAAAATAATTGAATCTACCTCATTAGAAAATATGAACAAGGGGTTATCCCTAATAAACCCTAAATTAAATTTGACAGCCTCATAAAAAAAATTGGCTTGTTGTTTCTTTAATTTTTTCTTCTTTCCTTTTCTTTTTGTTTGCTTTTCTTTAATATGTAGGAAAAAAGTTGTTAATTTTTAACAAACATTTAATATTTATAAATTGTAAATTCATCCAAATACAGTGTACATGTTAAACCCATGGTAGTTAATCTCGCGATATACCGCGATATATATCGCGATATGGTATGGTTCCAATCAAAACGATACAACTCGGGTTTATCGCCGATTGATAAATACCGTTAAATATCGCGAGATATCGTATCGCATCGCTGTATCACGATACGATACGATATTGACGATATTAGTCACCTTTAAAAAAATGAAAAAAACGAAGAAAAAAGAAGAAGAAATGCAGTCAACTATTCTGAAAAACGATTTAGAACATATTTCTTCAATATTCCAACCCTAATTCACATTTTTCTCTTTAATTTCTTCACCAACCCTCACAATATTACAACCCTAATTCAATTTCTATAGATTCTTGCGATTCAAGACCAATTCGAGGCTTTTTTTTGCTGGATTCTGCGATTGATGATAATGAATGCAATCGTTTAAAATTGGTAGATGATGACGATTTAAGTGACATTGATCTTCAAGATTATGAGATATCGAATGTTTTAGAAATTAGGTATTCGGATTTGAACTTAGGGACCATTTGGCTAAGCTTATTTTACACAGTTCATAAACTCTTACATCTAATAAGTTGTTTTAAGAGCTGATAAGTTGTTACGTCTTACTTTCAAAATTATTTTTTTCAAGTGTTTGGATAGTGATCTTACAAGCTATTTTAATCATTATATGATCTTAAATAAATAGGTGGGGTAAAGGTACTTTAAAAAAAATCTTATTTGCTCTCTAGTAGCCTATAATATTTTGAATTTTTAAGATCTTTTAAAAAAAATTACCTAACACACTAGAATAACTCTTAAACATCTTATAAGCTCGTTTTAACATCTTATAAGCCTAGTCAAACACCCTCTTAGATGATGTTATTTGATGAACATATATGATTTTTGTCATATTTTATAATATGATGTTGAAACTTGAATTTATACCTGTTTTGAAATAAGTAGTTATATTAAATTTTACATATTTATAATATTTTATAATCTAGATATATATTTTTTACTATTTTAATAGTTGGTTAAATATCTTACGATTCGGTACGATAACGATACGATACGAGACATGGAGAAAAACGATACGAGATATTTTTACGATTCGATAACCATGGTTAAACCAAATAAAAATCTAATTGCTTACATAAATTCACATTAATGTTGGGTGATCAATTCAAATTATCAAGAAAATGAAAATTAAATTTGAAGTACAAACACCACCACAGAATGAATACTCCCGTTTATTTTTGGGTTGGGTCAACGTTTAAACAACTTAACGCGGTTAGTTTTACATCAAAGCCGTTAGTCTTCCTTTCTTCTTGCACTAATTGAAATCACTAAATTTTGTCGATAAAGCAACCAACACGCGACTTGGGCCGTGGAAAGAGGCGGCGACGGCGACCTGAGCTGTGGAAAGGGGCGGCAGAGACATCGGTGGTGGCTAATCGGAAAAGAGGCGGCGGCGACGCGACGGAGTTTCTTCCGGTCAGTTTCAGTGGGGCCGCACACGGTGCAGTTTCCTCTTCTTCTTCGATTTTCTCTGTATTAAATTCCGTCGAAATTGGAAAAATGCTTTGGAGATTTTTTTTTAATTAATTGTATGTTTGGCTCAACACTTATAAGTTATAAGTAGCTTCACCTTTTTTATTTTTTTATTGATAATAATATATGTAGAGGTAAATTAAATTTCTTTTGTACAGTTATTCACAAAAAGTTGCTAAAAATAAATATATATTTTTAATTTTTAATTAAAAAAATATAAAATAATAGTATTATTTCATATTGTAATAATAGTATTATTTCATTTTTGAATTGTTTGGTAGCACTTTCACGTTGGTCCTCGATTGTCCGTTGGCAAAATCACGAATAATGCGTGTTTATTTAGGTTAACGAGATTTGATACAATCAGTCACAAATATATCAGAATAAATTTGTATGTATGTATGTTATGTGTGTGTGTGTGAGAGAGAGAGAGAGATAGGTTGCCATTTTGGTCATACGTAAAGCTAATATTCACCGGCTGGTTAGTCACACCGTGCTTCAGTGGAGCTGCATATGTATACGAGCACTATGTTTGGACATATATCCAAAAAACCGAGCCTGAAGACTACAAGCACCGATCCTGCTCGAGTTTTTTTTCGTTTTTTCGTTTCTTTTGTGATGTTTTTTGTTGGTTCAACAAGGTAAAAAAACTTGACCTACTTTTGTAAAGAGTATCGAGTAACTAAAGATGCTTTCTTGTACATAATTTTCCACACTTACTCTGTTTTTTTTAATATACTCTTGTTCTAATGCAATCGAGTAGTTGTTGATGCTGCGTTTATTACTTTTGACAAACTTGTTCTAATGCAAGCCGGTAGTTGTTCATGCTATGTATGTTTACTTACTGCTTACGAGTTTCGACACACTTGTTCGATTACATTCCTCTAGTTGTTGATGATGCTCTATATTTATTAATTTGGACGATCCTTTTGAAGATTCTTCGAGTGCAGAATTTTCAAACGGAAGGAACTCAAATCAAATTTATAACTAAACAGAAAAACCATCGTGATTTTATTACATAATAACCGAAGATAGTCTTCTATCGTACGTACTATTCTCCGACAAGAATCGAAGCATTATTAATAATTCTTATAATATTACATAATAATACTGAAAAATCAGAGTTGCTCGAAAATGTGGGCTGCTTGCTCCCGAGCAAAGCAGACAGCCTCGAGAGGCTTAGCCGCCGCCACGTCACCGGACAGTGTCTCCCAGTCGAAGCACTGGACAAGTGCAGCCAGCCCTAGTGAAACGGTCCGCAACGCCATCCCAGACCCAGGGCAGCCCCTTCTGCCCATTCCGAAAGGCAGAAATTTGTGCCCTAGTTCTCTCTCGGACTCGAATTGGAATCTCTCGGGCACGAACTCTTCTGGCCGGTCCCACTGCTCGGGGTCTCTGTGCATGGCCCAAACGTTGACCAGCAGGATTGTGCCCTTTGGTATGCTGTGCCCGCCAACCGTGCAATCCTCCGACGACACGTGCGGCAAAACGGTCGGCGTCGGAGGATACAATCTAAGGGTCTCGTTAATAATGCACCGGAGATACGGCAGCTTTGCCAGGTCCGAGTCGGCTAGGAGCCTGTCGTGACCGACGTTCTCATCGATCTCGTCGCTTAACTTCTGCAGCTTCTCGGGGTGGCTCAAAATAAGGGACATCGCCCGTTCCATAGCCGTTACGGAAGTCTCTGTACCGGCTACGAACATCACCTTTTATAAAAGAAAATGAAAATAATTATTATCGGAAAAAAAACCGAAAAAATTTAAATATTTTCAAGAAATACAAAACAGAGAGATAATTTACCATCAACACACTCTTGATGACGTCGTCCGTGTAGAAAACGGGGTCCGTTGCTTGCAGCGACAGCAACGTTTCGATCAAACAAGTAGTGCTCCTCGTCCCTTTGGAGCCTTTGAATTCATCGACTAGCCGTTGCAAGAAGACGTCTCTTCTGCCGTGGATTAGTCTCAACCTCCTCTCCACTCCTCCGTAGCCGATCCACCTCAGCACGGGGAAAAAGTCGCAGCTTACGAGAGTCAGGGTAGGCGGAAATACCCCACGGATCTGCTTCACCGCCTCCCTCCCGGCATCACCGCCAATAATATCCTCCTCGCTGACGAGTTGTCTCCCGGAGACAACTCGCATCATGTTGTTGAAGACGAACGTTGACACAAGATAAGTCAGGTCGACGGTGGCGGCGGCGGTGGATTTCTTCTTCCCGCCGTGCAGAACGCGGAGGAGGGCGCGTATCTCATTCTCGCGCGTGCCGGCAGTTCTGAGGAGGCTCTGGGAGGAGAATATTTCGGCGGCGGAGACGCGGCGGAGGGTCCGCCAGTGTTGGCCGTACGGCGACCACACGTACGCGGCGCGGCCGTAGGTGACGCAGTCGGCCGCCAGGGTGTCGGGGCGGTTGGCGAAGACCACGTCGTTCGTGGTGAAGCATTCCTCGACAGCTGAGGGCGACGAGACCACCAGGAACGGCCTGCAGCCGAGTCGGAGGGAGAAAACGCTGCCGTACCTCCTCGAGAGGGAGGAGAGTGACAGGTGGAGGGACTCCTCCTTGAGGAGATGCACGTGGCCGATGAACGGAAGGGATGGCGGAGCTGGCGGCGCCGAGTTTTGGCGGCGGCGGAGGCTATACCACTTGATGAAGAACACCACTAAGGTGAACCATGCAAGATAGAGATACATTCTTTGAGAAGAATGATGAAGAATTAAGAAAATTGGAATTAGATGAAGAAGAAGATCAAGAATTAAGAAAACAAGAATTAGAGAAGATAGAATAAGGATGGAGATAAAAAAACAAGAGAATATATTTCAATAATTTGCTAATTATCATCTATTTATAATACTCATAAATAATAACTAAACTATCTACTCATCACTACCCCACTAATTGACCCATTAAGTAAAACTTGCATATTACTTGACGTATAAATATGTTGCTAATGAAATATAGCCATGTTTGGCTAATTTTATTATATCATCCACTAATTCACAAAGGGACGTGATAAATGTCGTTCGAGCTTTAATAATACCGTTTCGATTTCAAACGTGATTTTGATCATTTTTAATTCCAAATTTTGCAAAACCAAAAATTAAGATTTGTAGTTTTTTGAGTTAGTTTTCTAATCCAACTTGAATCACCAAAATTGGATGTCGGATGAGAAAGATATACATGAATCGATGGATACTGCACACAACTTTGATGTATTGAGGTATTGAAAATTCATAATGTGACTCATTCATGCATAACTTTGTCACACGACATCCAATCTAGGGGATTTAAGTTGGATTAGAAAAAAAAAACCCAAAGGACTACAGTTTTCGTGTTTCGAATTTTGCCAAAATCAAAATAAAAATACTTCAATTCATTAAGGGGTGTGGTAAATGTCCTCGAGCTTTAATAATACTGTTTCGACTTCAAACGTGATTTTGATCATTTTTAATTCCAAATTTTGCAAAACCCAAAAAATAGGATTTGTAGTTTTTTGAGTTAGTTTTCTAATCCAACTTGAATCACCAAAATTGGATGTCCGGTGAGAAAGATATACATGAGTCAATGGATACTGCCGACAACTTTGATGTACTGAGGTATCTAAAATTCAGAATGTGACTCATTCATGCGTAACTTTGTCACACGGCGTCCAATCTAGCGGATTTAAGTTGGATTAGAAAACTAACCCAAAGGACTGCAGTTTTCGTGTTTCAAATTTTGCCAAAATCAAAATAGAAATATATCAAAATCAAATTCGAAGTTAAATCGGTATTAGTAAAATTGAAACGACATTTAACATTTCAAATTTACTATTCCTTTTTTTTCAAATTTTCTATTCTAACTAACATATTCCACTAATTTTATGAATTAATACATATCAAAGAGATGTCTTTGTTTCTTGCCAAATTATGTGTATATTTTCCCCCTTTCTTTTGTTTCTCTGCAAATAAACTTTTCTTTTTTTTCCTCTAATAATTAATCATAATTGGAGAAACATTTCTTTTGAGTTTAATTTTTTATTAATACGCAATTGGATATTTTTGAAAATTTTCTTTATTTATCTATCTCAATGTTGAAGGTTAGGTCCATCAGCTTATTAGCTGTATTAAAAAATTGCATTTAAAAAAAAAACCATAAGCTTTATTTAAAAAAATGATAATTACTATTTTACCATAATATATAATATTTTATTTACCCAAATTTGAACATTTTGTCTAGTTGTAGTAACGGAATTAATTTTTTAAAATCTATTCATCCCAATTTAAACGGATTTAGGTTTATCAAAATAATTAATTCAACACACATAATTCCCCAAAATATTATTTTAGATTTTTAAAATTTTGTTACCATTTTGTTAAATATTTAACTCTAGTTGTTGTAACGAAATATATATTGTAAAAAAAAATTATCTCTGTTCAATTTTAGACGTGCGTCGAATATTAAAATAGTAACCAAACAATAAATTACAATAACAAATTATTAATTTACCATTATAAAAATATCGTTTACGAATTTTTAAATATCTTATCTTGTGGTGGTAAAGAAATAATTATTTTAAAAATTATTTACCGAAATTTCCTTAAAATAAATAAAACTATTTAACCAAATTTAAATGAATCTGTGATTAGTTAAAGTAATTAAAATAGGCCAATACATAATTCACTAAATAATAACTTACACAAAAAACAATTTACCATTATAAAATTTTGTTTACCCATTATTAAATATTTTATTTAGTGGTGGTAACAAAATGGGTATCTTATAAATTATTTACCCAAATTTATATGGATTAAGATTTTTTAAATAAATGTTGACAAAAAAAATATATTTTTTAAATAAACTCAAATAGTTCAAAGTTCAAACCACATAATTCACCAAACAATACCTAAAAAAATGAAAGTTATTATTTTTTCATTACTAAATATTGTATCTAGTAGTGGTAACGAAATACAAATTTTAAAAATTATTTGTCGTAATTTAAATGAGCTTAAGTTAGTCGTGTGAGATATTAAAATAGTTCAAAGCACATAAGTGACCAAAACAAAACTTTAAAAAAATGAAAATTATTAATTTTACCGTTGTTAAATGTCGTTCACCCAATTTTTAAAATCATGTATCCTGTGGTGGTAACTGTATACATATTTTAAAACTTATTCATCCATATTTAAATAAGTTTTATGTTTTTCGAAACAATTTAATTATTTCAACACACATAATTCACCAAAATATAACTTAAAAAATGATTTTTTTTTTATTTTACCGGTATAATAACTAATTTTAACAAATTTAATAGAAAATCTAATCTAAGAAGTGTACATGCTACTAACTAAATAATTAATTAGTCAGTAGGGAGCTAATCCAATCTTGTGTAATCCAATCTAATCCAATATAAGTAACCGAACGAGCCCATAAAATAATATTATATAAAGAGGATCATAATTCTTAAATACCCTTAATAATTATTATTTTTTTTACATCACCACTTTTTATCCACCACCATCACATGAATTTCAATTTTTTTTTTTATTATTTTTGTTAACTTTCGTCGCCACCCCTTTTAAGGGTAAACAATCCAATAATTCACAATTTATAACCAAAAATTGAAGATAATATTATGAAATTGAATTTTAACTATTTGTAATTTTGTATACACAGTCTGGTAAGCTTTCATTTTCCTTTTTCCTTTTTTTTTTATTTATTTATTTAACTTTCGTCCCCACCCTTATTATGGGTAATGAAATCCAATGATTCACAATTATTTGTAATTATGTATACACAATCCGGTAAAAAGGGGTAAAAAAATCCAATAATTCATTTTTTTTAGAATAAGAAATAAAATAACAAAATAAAGAATACCCCACCCTTATTATGGGTAATGAAATCCAATGATTCACAATTATTTGTAATTATGTATACACAATCCGGTAAAAAAGGGTAAAAAAATCCAATAATTCATTTTTTTTAGAATAAGAAATAAAATAACAAAATAAAGAATAAGGTATGAAATTAAATACATAAGAAGAGAAGTGAAAGGAAATAACAAAATAAAGAATAATTATATAACTTAATGAAATGTTAAATGTCGTTTCAATTTTACTGATACCATTTTGACTTCAAACGTGATTTTGATCCATTTCTAATCTGATTTTAGCAAAACTCAAAACAAAAAAATTGTAGTCATTTGACTTAGCTTTCTAATCTAAATTGAATCAACTAGATCGGGATATCAAATAACAAATTTATCAATTAATGAGTTATATTTTAAAATTTAGGCAACCCAAAACACCAAAATTGTGATCAGTTTTTATTGATTCATTCATATTTTTCTCATCCAACATGCAATCTTGGTGAATTAAATTGGAATAGAAAGCTACTTCAAAGAACTGCAAATTCCGTGTATTCAATTTTGCCTAATTCAGCTTTGAAAATGATCAAAATCATGAAATCAAAACGGTATTATTGAAACTGAAACAACATTTATCACATTCCTTTAATTAATCGCGAAATGTAACAATAAAAAGGGACATCTATAATCCTCCACTAAAGTCAAAAATATAATTCTAAATGTGAAACAAAGGGGAGATAAACAAATAAACAAGACTGAAACAAAGCCCTCTATTCTACAGTTTTATACAATCTATACAAAAAAAATGCAGATTACTCATACCAGTCAAATATATTCTGTCCAAAAAAGAAAAATAAAAAAATTAGTTCGATGTCGATTAATTATTATTATTACAGCGATGACGACGATGACGTGGCGTTGTCTACCCCAGCAACCCAATATTTTTTAACGGCGAATAGTATCTTTTGAGAGACGAGGGGACCATCCTCGTGGTCCATCATTCTAACATTCCATTTCATGCCGACTGCAATTCGCTTTACTCTGATCAAAACATCGACGTGGTCTCGTAATATAACCGCACCTTCCGGTCTTAAAATCCGATCCATTTCTAGGAGTATGTCTTGTTCGTTGCATCTGTTGATTTATTATCGTAATTTAAACGTTCAAACAAATGAAAAATGTTTCTCGAAAATTCAAATAATTAAATATTGGAATAAATCCGTCACAAACTTATACTCAGGTGTATATATATACATATATTTTTTATTGGCGTATTTTTTGGGAAAAAATAAAAAAATTGGAATTAATTTCGGAAATTAAATCGGATCGGAAATTGAAAATTCCAAATATTTTTCATATAATTCCAATTCCAATCCAAAAAAATTGGAAATTTTTTGAAATCGGAATCTCGGATATCGGAATGAAAAAAAATGTTCCAAAATCGGAACCAGCAGTAATTGGAAATCCCGTTCCAACTTTCATCCCTAGTTAAAACACATGAAAAATGTTTCTCCAAAATCCAAATAGCCTATTTTTTTTTTTTTTTTTTGCTCATTGAACTCTTTAAAGTCATGTTTGGAGATTTCGAAAAAAATATAAATAAAAAAAAAAGTTGTTCGGAGAAAAAAACTTACTTGCCGCTGTACAAGCTGAAAATTCCACTAGCATGAATCAGGTCATACGACCTA